AGGGTAGTTGAGATCCAAGGAAGGATTGGAGCAATTATTAGAGGAGGATCTAGTGATGGTGGTGATGTTCTGTTGAGTGAAGTTCAATGCACAAAGAAGGTTGACATAATCTTGAACTCCCACATCATAAACAAGTCCAGGGTCAAGAGCATTGTTGGGGTTAATATGACCAGCTCCCAAGGCCAAAGGAGAGGCTGGTTTGTAACCATGAGCAATGTCCTTGATGAGTTCCTTAGTATTGTCAAATATGTTTGATGTTGTCATAATGGCTGATCTAATTGTTGCAGGGCTCCAATCAGGGTGTGCTCCTTTTAACAGTGCTCCCACGCCTGCCACGTGTGGGCATGCCATGGATGTGCCAGTTAAAAAGTTGAAGTTGTTTAAAAGGTTTTGGGACCCAAAAAATGCCACTGGTAGACTTTGAGCCCATGCTGCTAATATTGATGTACCAGGAGCAGTGATGTCTGGTTTCAACACGAATGGACAACTATTTGATGGTCCTCGGGAACTGTAAGTATCCACACTCGGTGCTGGTTTAGTACCCAAAGTTGTTATCTTAAACTCCATGCTTGCATTTGCACTAGAGTTATTCTTGATGTAAGCTTTGATAATTTCTCCATTTTTAGGGTTAACAACAATGGCCGCAGAACCATTTTGTATGAAAAATGACAAGTCAATGGTACTTGATATGAACACTGCTGCAACAACATTTGACGAACCCACATAGGACACTTGATCTTCAAGGACTCCACTTTTATCATCACACACCACGATCTTGCCTTTAGCATTCTCCAGTGCCTTCAAATCGTCACACGAGTCCAGAAAAACAATAGGAGCTTGGTGGATAGATAAGTTTCCTAGATAGAGTGACAAGCCAAATATATTGACACCATTTCCAAGAACAAGACTCCCGCGAAATTCACGATCCAAAGTGCTAGCAGCCACATTTATGACCCATGGTATTCCATTATGAAGGGTTTGAGGGTTAGGCCTATTACAATTTTGATAAAGAAATCACCATGAAAATATC